TTGTCATATCACATCTCTCCTTGCTGTTCCCATCATGGCAAGATATCAACACCGGCCATTCCCTTTCCTGTGGATCCTTCAGTACCAAGCTTTTGCTTCCCATCATTCCAGTCTCTCTCATGAAAGTTGCTGGAATTCTCTGCTCCAAATATCCATTTACTCATATTGATTAATACCCACAAAACTCAAGGAAGTGCAAGGAATCCAGGCAAATAAAGAATATATTTAAAGAACGAGGGTAGCCTTATTTTGCTACACTTATCAGTATAACAATCAGAATGCAAAGTGAATGAGTGTTTTTTACTCTCTTATTCAGTTGAAGTGGATTATATGGAACACTCTTCTTATTAGAAAATTGAGCAGATAACTCTACCAAATAGGCTCTAAAGCCAAAGAAGGAAAACAAACTAATATTGCCTACCGCTCTTGATTGGTTGAAAGGTCTCATTTTGATAGAAAATGATGCTGCTGTCCTCTTCCTAATATGTGCGTCTGATGACAATGGCACTACATCACTTTCACGAGCATATGCCTTCTCTGGGGAAACTTTACCTTTCAAGAAACAACAAAATTGACTAATACATCAGTTTATTTATATAAACTATAAAATTAGTATAAAAAAGATAACTCAATGAAAATGACAAACATAGAGATTCTTTTGTAACATTTGGGCTAATTTCGTCTATTTTCTGGCAAGTGATGTTTTCAGATGACTTGCTAGTTATTACATTGGCTATTTAACATTGGCTATGGCCTAAAACCTGCTCTTGTCACCTCAACTTTGAGCAACCAGCCACCGCCATGTTCTTTTTCTTCGTCTTCTTCTTCACGTTCATCAGCAATGTAGTGGAAGGTGCAAGTGTCCCCATTACGTAGGCCATTTTGGGTTCTGAAGTCAGTCCATCCCTTTGTGATATCACATCTCTCCTTACTGGTCCCATCATGGCAAGATATCAACACCGGCCATTCCCTTTCCCGTGGATCCTTTAGTACCAAGCTTTTGCTTCCCATCATTCCAGTGTCTCTCATGAAAGTTGTTGGAATTCTCTGCTCCAAATATCCATTCACTCATATTGATTAATACCCACCAGACTGAAAGAAGTCCAGGGACTCCAAGAAAATCAATAATATATTTAAAGCCCTTAGGGTAGCCTTATTTCACTGCACTTATCAGTATAACAATCAGAACACACAGTGAATAAGTGTTTTTTACTCTCTTATTCGGCTGAAGTGGATTATATGGAACTCTCTTCTTATTAGAAAATTGAGCAGATAACCTTACCAAATAGGCTCTAAGTAGAAAAAAGAAAACAAACTAATATTGCCTACCACTCGGTTTTTGTTGGAAGGTCTCATTTCGATAGAAAAAGATGCCGCTTTCCTCTTCTTAATATGTACGTCTGATGATAATGGCACTCCATCACTATCACATGCATATGCCTTCTCTGGGGAAACATTACCTGTCAAGAAACAACAAAATTGAGTAATACATCAATTTATTTGTATAAACTATAAAATTGGTATTAAAAAAGATAACTCGATAAAAATGACAAACATAGAGATTCTTTGTGACATTTGGGCTAATTTTGTCTTATTTCTGGCAAGCGATGCTTTCAGATGACTTGCTAGCTAATACATTCGCTACTTAACATTGGCTATGGCCTAAAACCTGCTCTTGTCACCTCAACTTGGAGCAAACAGCCACCACCATATTCTTCTTCTTCTTCACATCCATCAGCAGGGTAGTGTAAGGTGCAAGTGTCCCCATTAAGTAGGCCATTTTGGGTTCTGAAGTCAGTCCATCCCTTTGACATATCACATCTATCCGTGCTGGTCCCATCATGGCAAGTTATCAACACCGGCCATTCCCTTTCCTGTGGATCCTTCAGTACCAAGCATTTGATTCCCATCAATCCAGTCTCTCTCATGAAAGGTGCTGGAATTCTCTGATCCAAATATCCATTAACTCATATTATTAATACCCACCTGATTAAAAGAAGTCCAGAGACTCCAGGAAAATCAAGAATATATTTAAAGCCCATACGGTAGCCTTATTTCGCTGCACTTTTCAGTATAATAATCAGAATACACAGTGAAAAAGTGTTTTTACTCTCTTATTCGGCTGAAATGGATTATATGGAACACTCTTCTTATTAGAAAATTGAGAAGATAACCCTACCAAATAGGCTCTAAGCCAAAAAAGGAAAACAAACTAATCTTGCCTACCGCTCTGTATTTGTTGAAAGGTCTCATTTCGAAAGAAAACGATGCTGCTTTCCTCTTCTTAACATGTACGTCTGATGATAAAGGCACTACATCACTTTCACAAGCATACGCCTTCTTTGGGGAAACTTTACCTTTCAAGAAACAACAAAATTGAGTAATACATCAATTTATTAGTATAAACTATAAAATTGGTATGAAAAAGATAACTCAATAATAATGTCAAACACAGAGATTCTTTGTGGCATTTGGGCTAATTTTGTCTTATTTTTGGCAAGCGATGCTTTCAGATGACTTGCTAGTTATTACATATCTAAATAGATAGAATGTATTCTACAAGAAATAAAGGGTAAAGGTTATAATCACTAAGGGTTGCTTAATAGGAAAGTTTGGGGAATGAGAATGATAGTTTATGCTTTACATAATGCGCTATGGGGTTTTATTTCACACTTCTGGGCATTCAGCCATACCCCTCCCAAAGGGGGCTTATCAGCTTATGAACCAATTGTCCTTTTCTTTAAAAGACATTCCCATTCTCATTCCTTAAAGTTAATCAAGTATCCCCTATGTTATTCCCTACAATTATATAAAATCTAAAGTTAATAGTCACATTAAGACCTTAAACACTGACCCTTTTTTGTGCAACACTGACCCTAAGAAGTCACATCATGTCCCAACACAACATTTACACTACCTCAGTTTCTATGTCATTAATGTTTTTGGAACCTTAATAATTGTTATTGTTATTGCACTCCAGTTATTTTTAAATTTCATATAATGTATTTCCAGATACTGTTTATCACATGAATAACACAACTTGATGTTAAAATAAAAATGAATAACAAAATTAGTTATAGAACAACAGCAACATCACAACCTTAGTCCCAAAAGAGTTTAAACATAATTAGTTATACAAAGTAAAATATTCATAATCCAGGTTAGGGATGGACTACTTTGAAAATCCATTCCGCATAACTTTCAGTAACAGTGCTTTGGACCTGACCTCAAAACACCACCCTTATTTACCAAAAACTACCTTCATTTCATAAAACGTTCTCAGTTTCCTTTTTGAATTATTTATTATTCCATACTTGCATCTGGATTTACTTTTTGAACATTTAACAGTGTCCACCTTTTAAATACGCCATGGTATTTCCTTTTTGTGACGGATTTGCCTCCACTTTATTGTTGGACTTTTTCAGTAGGATATAAGATAAGAAAGAGAAAAGGAAATGGGTGTGGGCTATGATAAATTGATAATAAGGTGGCTGGGTTTTTTATTTGGGGCGTAGATATTGAGAAAAAGAAACCAGCAGAAGGTATAAGAGAGTAGTATGACTGTTTTTTACAATACCCCTTTCTACATCATTTACACTACTTTTTTTAGAAAAAATCTATTTCTACTCACCCCTTATACCCACCCTTGTGACAGAAACATGTCTGTTTTGTGTGTGAACGGGATTCATAGACAACAAAATAGCCCCTCACAAGAGTGGGTATATAACTATATAAGAGTGGTTGTAAGGGGTGGGTACAAGTAGCAAAACTGAAATTTTAAAGTAAATGCAGTGTGACGCCAAAGGCTTGTTTGGTTGGCGGGTTTTGGAGGAGAGGAAAGGGGAAGAGTGATCTTCACCATATAAATTATTTCTATATTTAGATGGTGGGGAAAAAAACTATACAGGAATACAAGATCTAACTATAATAATCATCCGTAATTATTTCTAGTCTAAAATAAACCACGTTGATATAAGTTAATTAAATAAAATCAATCTTTTATTCCCTTATCTTTTAAACCTGAAACCAAGTAAACCCGAATATGAGAGGGATGGACCGATGGAGTGTGTCTTTTAGTGGTTTAACCAAGTCAAACGACTAGACAGTAGACATCATCCCAAGTCCAGAAAGAAAAAATAATCCTCTTTTACCAAATAAGGTCAAGATCAGCTTGACCCTGGCCTAGCAAAGTAAACTTTAGCATAAACCAATTGAGATAACAAAGTCTAACCACATGTGCAGCTATTAGCTAAGAGACTATGCTACATTTTACCTTTAGTGATAAGATGATCGAGAATCTTAGCAGAGCCACCTTCATTATAAACTTCAACAAAGAATTTGGACGGGGATTCAAGCCAAAAGACCAGAAAATTGTGGAGGTCCAAATGCAGGTCCTTCACGAATTCGGACCAGCCTTCGGTGAAACACTGGGCCTCCGCAACCTCCTCCATCTTCACACTCCACTCTTCCTCAGTTCCTACCGTCAGAACCGGAGATTCCGGCAACCGCTTCCTAAACTTGTAGATAAATGAAGGCGGCAACCTCTTCAAAAAGAAGAGAAAAATCGACATTAATTCTGGAGAAAAAAGGAACAGGAAAAAGAGAATGATAGGTCGGAAATTACCAGGTGAGTGGCAAAGTCGTCGGTCAGGACCTTGAAGAAGGCGGGATTCCTTTCACCCATTGTTAGGGTTTTAGGTCAGTTCTGTCGATAAACATATGATGGAAAAAAGAGGAGTTGAACAACACCTTAAAATTTACCATTTTCTTACCCTCTGTCCCACGCCTTTCGTCCACACTCCACACCGTTCACTCTCCTCTTTCATCTCCTATTTTGTCTTTTCTTATTTCTTTCATCCTCATCTTCCATATTCACCATTTCCGTCTTATGATTCTTATCCATATCTTCCATCTGCATCCCTGGAGTATTTCATTGTGGCGCGAATTAGTCAATTAAAGTCACCTCAAAATGTCGGGAGCACTGCCCTTTTATTCTTAACACGTAGAATTGTATTTATAATAGTGCTCAGTTAGAGTTAGACAATTGCATTATTATTGAACTGAGGTTGCATTTACTTTTGACAATTATTGTTGTTGTTTTCAATGTTTCAATAATACGGTGACAATTAGTTTTCTGCATCTTTGGAGTAAAAACCTCTTAGCACCTATATTCAGTTGTTCATTTTGTTTTCCATAGTTTGAGTTACAGAATAAAACCTTGTTTTGCGTATGAGACTGCCTTAGCTTGTTAGAGTTGAAGTTTATTTTATAAATGAATAAACGCTGGTTCGAAGAGTTTTGCTCAAGTTATGGAAGACATGGTAACATTAATTTCTACATTGTTATTTATTTCTATTCTTCTTCTTCTTCTACTTCAGTTTTAACAATATTTCTATCATATCAGTTCGAAAATGACCATGTAATGCCCGACATGTTGTAAGTGTACAAGAAGACTCATACCCGGCGTGATGAAACTCCTGTGACTAATGTTGCCAAGGAAACTATGGTAAATGACTATCCTTCAATCACAATGACTAAATATTAATCTATGAGTTTTAAATTGGCAGTGTGCTTTAACTTTTGTTAGGTCCTCTTTAATGTGTGCCATAAAAGTCAAATTTCATTAATATGGTTGTAGGATCATACAATCTGATTTCTTTAAAATGATTTTATACCTTGAATAATATAACGTAGGATCATACAATCTGATTTTATAACCAGATTGAAGATACCAGATCAAATGTATGTTTACCTCTTTATCTTGTCATTGTTATTAGGTAATTGTTTACCAAATCAAATATGCTAGTTGAAGTTGTTGTTGCATATATTGTTTTTCACTAGATGCATACATTATATTTTTTATGCAGTAAAAGTAAAAAGTTGTAAAAAGTTGTTGCATAGCTGTGACAAACATGAATAAAACATATTTGCAAAGTGTTTTAGCAGATTGAATTGGATATACTAGCTCTAATTGCAGACCTTGTCTTTTTTGTGGTACACTTGTTGCATGATTGCATAGATAACATCTTTTGTTTGCAGTCAGAGATAGAAAAGCTTGTTGAGCAACGTGAGCTAGGAGAAATCAGTATTATAGATGAAGAGATTTTTGAATCAGTTAAACCTAAAGGTAAATGTGGCAGTGATCGTGGCAAGTGGGTGAGTCCGTCCATTACATCATTGTATGGACCATTTAGAGAAGGAGAGAAATTGCGTAAAGAGGCTGAAGAGGCCAAGAAAGAAGCTTATGAGGCTAAGAAAGAAGCAAGTGAAGCTAATGAGAAAAATAAAACACTCACTAAGGAGTTAAACAGTTTCAAAAACGAGGTCAGAGTTATGAAGGGTGTTATGGAGAAATTCTTCAACCTTATGGGAGGTGATTTTTCTAAGCTGATTGCGAATGAGGTATTGCATCAGTTTTTATTTCATTATTTTTTGTTAATAACTTTTTTAAGTTGTTAAAAATATTTATTTATAATTTAATTGCTATATGGCAGGTTCATAAGGAGAATAATCAAGAGAAAAGTGATGATGGTGATGACGATGAGGACGACCATGGTGATGATGGAGAAGAAGAAGAAGAAGAAGAAGAATGATCTCTCTACACTATGTGTTGTCCTTCAAGTTTTAGATCTATACATCTTCATGTTTTTGGACAAAATATTTTATTAGTTTTAGACTTTAGTTAGTTTCGTTTTACACGTATTCATGGTAGATTAGATTGAACCATTTTTTTTGTAGTTACAAGTTACAACAATCAGTTATTAAATGAATATTATATTGTTAGCTTTTATTTACGTGAGGTATTTATGTTCAACATTAATGTATTTTTAATATTTTAAAAAGTATATGCAATTGGTCATATATTGATAAAAAAATAATATAATTGTTGCTAAATGTATATGGTTTGGTTCAACATATAAAGCTGTATCTAATATTTTTTAGGAGCGGCGTATAATAGTGCCCCTAATAACATTTTGAGTCACTAATAATAGTTGCCCTTAATACTATTTTGAGGCAACATAACACGAATGCCTCTAATGACATTTTGAGGCAAAGGGTTGGGATTGCCTCTAAAAGTATCCTTTTAGAGGCATACCATTGTTGGCCTCTAATTCTCTAAAGGCTAGTTTTCGAGGCAACCATTATTTTGCGACGGACTATTTGAAGGCAACCACCAAGTTGCCTCAAAAAAGCATTAGAGGCAATTTTCCTATTTTTAGAGGCACTTTTGTCATGCCTCTACAAGTCAATTTTATTGTAGTGGTATGAGGGCGACATTAGCCTTCGGCTGTCACGTATTAGGAACCCCTCGGGCTAAAACGTCACCTTAAACTCCTTCAGCCCGAAATATCTTTCGGTCTAAAGGAGTGGGGGGCTGGGGTAGACCCCTCGGGAACTTCATGGAACAAAAATCTACATGCAAAAATCCACAATTGATACATATGGCCTTCGGCAAATATCAAAACAAACCCCTCAGGGTGCATACTATCGCTACACCCCTCGGGAAAAGAGCAAAATGCCAAAAATTTGCAACAGATGCCAAGGGTGATGAAACCGCCTTCGCACCAACATGAGATGCGAACTTGTGAGCACTTCCACTCAGGAAGCCCTCAGCCCCCGAAATATGGGGGACTGAGGGAATGCCCTCGGCAAACAGCGGAGAGCAAATTGACAATTAAAGCGGCCTACAAAACGAGGATGCCTTCGGGAGAATCACCACAATTACTCCTTTTCCCTCAAGTGCCTTTCGGCAAAAGGAGTGGGGGACTCCTGATGGAGTATATGGCCCGGGAACCCCCGGACCACAGACTCCTACTACTCTAGCACAGGCCCAACAGGCCCAAGAAGCACAGGAGGCCCAAAGCATAGCGGGCCAAGCTCAAAGGAGCCCAATGTGCGCTTGGGGTAGCCTTCGGCAACATGGCCAAAGGCTCCAAAACACTTGGCACAGCCAGTTTCGAGCGTACGAAGCTACTGGGAGAAAATGGCCGAAATCGGGGAGCCTTCGGCACTTTTGTGCCCTCGGCATCAGGGGAGCCTTCGGCTGTACAGCGCCCATGGCTACACAGAGCCCTCGGCCGCAGGGGGAGACTTCGGCTAACCACTCAACCGTCGAAGATTCCCTTTGGAGACAAGCACCCACCGCATTTCATGCGGCGTCACGTCCAACCACCGCATTTAATATAATGCGGTGCACATGCGAGTGTCGGTGCCACCCCGATTGAGGTGACCCCTCGGCCGTTGGATTACTGACACGTGTACTCTCATCGCATTTATTGCTGCTATAAATAGCACCCCCTTTTTCCATTGTAAAGCACCAGAACATCTCGAGTTCATTAATACAATCACCTCTCTCTCTTACTTGTTTGCTCTATCTTCTCTCTAGGTTATTCTCATAATAACCCCTCGGATAAACTACCCCCTGGGTACACTGCCCATCATTTATATTAAAAGTTATTCTAGTATTATGGTCATGTATTATTTTTTTCAAAAAAAAAAGTAAATTTATGATGTTAATTGTATAATTTAAAATAGCAAATTATCAGCATTGTAATTATAGATTGAAGTAATATTATTTATTTCACAATGGAAGTTTAGAATGTAAATTGTGTATTCATGAATGCTAAAATATCTTAAATTACGCAATTAACACCATAAATTTACATTTTTGAAAGAATAAATGTTTGACTACGGTACTAAAATAATTTTTCATATAAAATTTGAAGTATTTAAATTACATATGCAAATTTGGGGTGTTCATCTCACACTCCTTCAAAGTTTGGGCTATTTAAATTATTTTTCCCAAAAAAGTAACACATCTAAGGATGTTTTCTTACCTGGGCTGAAATTTATTAGTTTGGTCTGTCTAAGTATTGTGTAATCTGGTCTTGTCTGAACTGGCCTGGTCAGGTAATGTCTGATCTCTATGTACTTTATAACTATGAAAGTCTAATCTGGGGTGTTCTGAACTGGTCTGGTCTGTCTGGTCTTTTTTAGTCTGGTCTGTAGTGAAAAAAGTCCAAGCAAAACATCTTTACTTCACTAATCTGTACGCATACGGCTGCCTGTACAACTTGCACCATACCGTTGTGGCATTTTCATAAGTTTGATGAAAATCTCGCCCCTCAATTAAATTATCATTAATGCACTTTTAATGAATATCAGACCGATTGTGTTGCGTATTATAGCCTAATAATGAGTATCGTGATCTCTGCTTTATATCTTCTAATTTACTTTCTTTTTCTTATTTTTTTATAAAAAAATCTTAAATTATATCAGTAATCAACTCTTATTAATTTCAATACGAGAATCTAAATTAATATTATTGTTGGGATATTAGGTCCAGGCCCAATATCCCTAGGCCCAAATCCGGGAAGAAGCAGCGGGCCCAAGGCAACCAAAATAATTCCCGGACGGCATTCGGGATAAAGTTTATACTTGGAGCATTTCAGGATACAGTTGCGCCAAAGCACCAATGGCCGGATCCCGATCGGCGTTCGGGATGCTGTTCATAACAAGGTGACATCTATGACGGGATCTCACACACCGAACACCTTGCCCGAACGGGCAATCAGCAAGTGGAGGCCGCATTTAATGTTGGATCATGGCAGCTACAAGTGGGGGGCATGGGTGCTTACATGGCAGAAGTGATGGCCAACCAGATTCGACCACGTGTCCGCCTTACCCATCCCCATTTTAGTATAAATACACATGTTTAGATCATTGTAAAGGGTTAACATTTTGATACTCAGAGCTTAGCAATAGATTTACATCTCCTATCCTTGTAATCTAATACTCATCTACCGTTCGGGTAGTTTCAGTGTAATAGCATAATTACGGAATACAAGTAAGCTCCTGAGTTGAATATTATCTCACTATCTTATATTTTATACACTTTTCAACCCAACCCAATATCCCTACAATATCCGAAGCTTGTGTTGGGCTTTCGGATCTTCGGGAATAAACCTCAACAATTATATTTCTGAAATATGCATTGATATAAAAATTGTTAGTTCTGTTAGTTGAATATCAATACATTTTCGCTGAGTATTAAGCTTCACTTATTGAGTATTAGAAACTTACAATTGAGTATCGTAATTTCTGCTCCCATGTCTTCTAATTCACTTTCTTGATATTGATTTTTCTTTTTTTATTTTTGTAAAATTGCATAATTTATATATCTATAACTAACTCTTATGAATTCTAATACGTAAATCCAATGTAATATGATATTTTTGAAATATGATTGATATGACATTTTAAAATGAGCATAATATCAGTACCAAATAAGCATACATGACTTACAAAATGAGTATCGCAAAATTCAAAACGTCATTTGAACTTTGAAGTCACTAATGTACTCAAATACTCATTTGTGTATGCTCATTTTTGTTAACAGTTATACTCATTGTATAACATAAACTTATTTCTAATATATGAACATGTAACAGATTTATTATTAATAATTTTGTCGTCGTTCTCAAGTCCTACTACAAGGCTGGATGAACGGAAAGTGGCGGCCGCGGAAAGCTACCTTCTACAGTTCTACCGACAGCACCCTCCTGCAACGTAACAAATCCCATATAATTCAAGATCTTACAAAGCGTCAACCATAGTTAATTAAATCTAAACTTTTTTGAGTTCTATCCTATTTAATTATTTCCATGTTATGTGTTTGTGTGTCTTTCTCGAATGGTTAAGAATATCTAATTGTTGAATCCTTCTTGGTGTACACCCTCGGTTACACCCTGGGGTACACCCCATTTATTTGTCATTCACACGGACAAAAAACGTAAAAACACAGACACTTTCGATTAAACTGTCGGTGTAAGTTTACAGATCTGTCAGATCTGCCAAGCTGGTTGCACCCAAACCAATGTCAGTGTGCACAGACACTATCACACTAGTTGTTTGTGTAGACAAAAAGTGTCGGTGTGAACAAAATTGGTTTGCAAGTTCAGGTAGTTGGGAAACCAGTGTCGGTGTACACAAACATTAGTTGTCTGTGTAGAAAAAAAAGTGTTTGTACATATACAATTTTCGTCGGTGTACACAAACATTAGTTGTCTGTGTAGAAACAAAAGTGTTTGTACATATACAATTTTCGTCGGTGTACACAGACACTAAAAGCAAACCAGTGTCGGTGTGCATAAAACCTATAAAGAGAGAAGGAAAGAAAAAGAAGATGATGAAGATGATGAACAACAATGATTCAAAGGAATCGTTTCTAAACTTAGCTAATAAAACGTTAAAAGAAAGAAAAAGGGAGGAGGAGGAGGAGGAGGAGGTTCGTATGGTGCAAAATGGAGAGAAGGGGAGAGAAGAGAGTGGGGAGGGGGGAGAGAAAAAAGTGGGAAAGGAGGAAATGAAAAATGGGGGGTTATATATGATGTACCTCTGGGTGTAACCCAGGGTGTGCCTAAAGAATTTTATTTTTGTAAAATTGCATAATTTATATATCTATAACTAACTCTTATGAATTCTAATACGCAGTGGAGGAGCTGGGGAGGGGCATGAGGGGGCAAGTGCCCCGGCTTCGGGCAAACAAAAATAGTACTATTACTAGTCTACTACTTATAATATATTTAATGTCTCCCTTCTTCTTTTCAAAAATCAATACCAATTATGTTTAATTTTAGATTAAGTGTTAAAATAAAAGGAAAAGACTTTCAGGAAACGTATGTGTCTCTAGAAATAAAAGTATTCACTGCAGCATACCACACTCATTTGAATACAAGCGTGTATTGTTTTAAACCTTTAATGACACACGAGTTGACTTTTCGTGGTTATATTGGGCAAGAAAGTATTGAGTTTGATGAGTTTCTTGGCACATCTCTTGCAACAAAAAGATCAAAACATTCTCGAGACTGTGTTGGAATCCCTCCTAAGTGGAGAAATTCATGAGAATTTTATAATTTACATATATGTCTAAGATTCTCTATATGCGTGTAGAGAAGTATTGAATGCTCTAGAATAATAATGTGGAGTTTTCTAGAGAAGTGTAAAACTCACTAAAATCGTGTGAAAGTGTGTGAAAGACCTTAGAACATTTTAAAGAAATGTGAAGTTCTTTAAATCCTTCAAGAAGATTAGAGAAACTTAGCTTGTGGAGACTTTTTGGAAGAATCTAGATGGTGTAGTGGTGTATAAAAAAAAATCTAGAGAAGCTTTAATGAGATTAGTATAGAGAAGTTTCCTATTTCTATGAGAATCTTGAGGAGAGCTCTTGAGTGATTGAAAGTGAGAGTCTCCTTGAGAGAGGAAAGTGAGAGCCTTCTTGTGAAAGAAGAAGCCTCAAAGATATCGCTTGATGAAGTGTATGTGATCGAGTTAGGTAGAGTGAAATACTTCCAGATACAAAGAGTGAGTGCGGTAATAGAAAGTGATATTGTCAGATTGAGTCTTTGTATTATGAGTGTGTGGACAACTGTGCAAGAGTCTATGAGCTTATGATCTTGGAAAAGATTGAGAGTCGTGTTTTCCCATCAAGAAGTTATTATACAACATTTTGAATAAATTAAAACTCGTATGATTGATCTACCCACATTATAGATAGAGTCAAGCAATATGTAATGAACTAATTTGTGCTAACGTATTACACTTTTATTGTTTTTATTATATTTTGAGCAATTACACAATAATTCTTAGCCCTCTGTACGCCCCTCCTTCGAAAAATCTCTGGCTCCGCCACTGCTAATACGTAAATCCAATGTAATATGATATTTTTGAAATATGATTGATATGACATTTTAAAATGATGGTTACTGAGAATGTCAAAGGGAGACTCGTTGATCAAAAAGCTTCACAAATCCACGAAAAACGTAGAGATTTGGCCAGCGATGATAATGATCAACCAGTCAAGGATCAACAAAAGAAGAGGAAGCGCAAAGGTGAGATATTATGAGAGTAGGTGAGACTATTCTATACATGAATATACAAATATGTATACTTAGAGCATCTTCAATGCTACAATGTGCACGGTGCATATGTAGCATGAGAGAGATAGACACAAAAAATTGAATCTATGACATTTCTCTCACATTCTTTCCACGATTTTATATGTTTTTGGTAAGTTCCCCCCTGCAATGTCAAGCACAATGTCTAGTTGTGAAGAAAAACTTACCAAAATTATACAAGATCCTTCAAATAAGGAGAAACATATTCTTTTTATTATTTTTTAATTGGGTATCTCTCATGCCACGTATGCACTGTTCACATTTTAGCATTGGAGATGCTCTTAATACTTATCAAATACGTGTAGTAATAGGTGTTGAAAAAGTTACCAAATTAATTAAGATGGATTTCTATGATATTTTGTTTCCATATCAATATCCAATCAAAAATAGAATCTAATAAAAACAAAAGGTATTAAAATAACTAAATAATTGTTATATATAATGACATGGCAGGATTATGTGGCGTTTTGTATGCTCTTAAAAAGTTCCTCTTATATATATATATATATATATATATATATATATATATATATATACACACACACACACACATATATATATATTGATTTATATTTATATTATTATAGATACCCTCTATCCTTTATCGGGAATGTATGATTAGAATCCTTACTCTTTAGTAAGCACTCCACTTTTACTGCAAGATTATATTTTATCTTTCTAACTCTATCTGGATTTAAGATTGTAATAATTCACTACATATATACTTCATGCATGAATTTAAATCTAATTGTAAACGTGATGCTTTGAGACCTTTTCATCCTTGAATAGAAGTCAATAGATAAGAATCATAAGCTAACAAATTCCTTCACTAGTTTTTTGTCTCTACTTTAATCCCAGACCAAAACGGCCTACACCTCACACAGAACACAGAAGATAATAGTAATATGGAGTAATTATAATTATAACTAAAATTATAACAATAAGGGCCCTAACTATAATTACAATTGAAATTGCAAATATACTCATAATTATAAGAGAAAAGGGTCAAATAAGGCCTTCTACTATTATGAAATAGTCACATAAGGTCATGTACTCAATAAAGTGTCATATAAGTACCTCTACTTGTAAAAAACAATCAAATGAGTCCTAATGATCTATTTACAACCTCCTAATCCCGGTTTTAGCTTGCATGTCGATTTTTTTGACTTGTATTTCAACTAATCTTAGTTAAATATTCGACGTATGCCGTATAATCTATTCCAAAAAGATGGTCACAAGTATGCAAAAATCGGGATTAAGAGGTGTTAAATAGGTCATTAGGACCTATTTGATTGCTTTTTACAAGTAGGGGTACTTATATGAGATGTTATTGAGTACGTGACCTTATGTGACTATTTCATAATAGTAGAAGGCCTTATTTGACCCTTTTCTCTAATTATAATTATAATCATACTTATAATTACAATTACAATAATAATAATTATTATATTGTTGTTCGTTTAAAGCTTCATTAAAATTCATTACTCAGTAGACTAGGTTGACTTTGATCAATACAGAAGACAAAGAAATGTGTTTGAGGGCTCTAAAAAACAGATCTTAGAAGTTCATACCAGAACTCATGTCCATGCATTCTGGTTTACAAAAATGGTTTACAAATAAATGGCAAAACTAAGATTGCACATGAAAATATAAAAAACGCACCAGAGTGAACATCACCACATTCACTTTTGTTCCTATAGACATGAGGAACACTTTGTATCAAAAGTCAAAACTAAAAGTTTATGTCTAATTTTGGTTAATGGCCAAAAACAGAAGAAAAAATAACCAAGAAGGCAGATGGCAAATTCCTTTTTGGCCTAACAAAGGAGTCAGAGGCCTAAGGACCTGCTCTTGTCACCTCAACTTGGAGCAACCAGCCACCACCGTCTTCTTCTTCTTCTTCTTCTTCACTTCCATCAGCAGGGTAGTAGAAGGTGCAAATGTCCCCATCAAGTAAGCCATTATTGGTCCGGAATTCATTCCACCCCTTCGCAATTTCAGTTCTCTCCTTGCGATCCCCACCATGGCATGATATCAACACCGGCCATTCCCTTTTACTTGGATCCTTCAGTACCAAACACTTGCTTCCCATAATTCCAGTCTCTCTCATGAAGTTTGATGGAATTCTCTGATCCAAATATTCATCCATTCATATTAATTAATACCCACCAGACTTGATGCAGTCTAGGCAAATCAAGAATACATTCAGCGCCTGTTTGGTAACCTTTTTCTATTGCGCTTGTTGATATAATAATCAGAATACACGGCATATAAGTGGTTTTTTAGTCTCTTATTTGGCTGTAAGTGGATTTTATCAAATGCTTTTTTCTAACTAGAAAATTCACTAGATAACCCACCAATCAGGCTCTTCACAAAAAAACGAAAACAAACTAATAAAATGGGTACCCATCTGTATCTGTTGGATGGTTTCATTTCGATAGAGAATGATGCCCTTTTCCTCTTCCTGGTACGTACATCTGATGATAATGGCTCTACAGCAGATTCCCGTGCATATGCCTTCTTTGGGGAAACTATACCTTTCAAGAAACAATCAAATTGAGTAATACATTAGTTCGTTTGTATAATGTTGGTGCATAAGTTTGTTATATTTGGGCTAATGTTGTCAAAGTTTTAGCAAGGGAAGGTTTCAGATGACTTGCTAGTTACTACATATCTTGAAAAACAGAATGTATTCTAAAAACGAATAAACAGTAGATGGAAAAACGAACAATGAGGGTGCTTGGTAAGAAGGTTTATGGAATGGGGATGACAGATTATGATAATATGATTGAAGGATATCACAGTGGAGTTTGATTTCCCACAGTTGGGCAATTACCCATAGTCCTATCAGATGGGGGATGAAACATTGGAACCCATGACTCATCACCCCTTTCTCTCAAACACATTCCTATTCTCATAAATTAAATCAACCAAGCATCCCCTTATGTTGTTTTCTCCATTTTATAAAACCTCAAATTTATACTAAGATTTACATTTAAACCGCCAAAACTGACCTTAAAAGCCTCACCTTCCAAAAAACATTTACACAAACTCAATTTCTATGTCATCATGTATCTGGAACCTTAATATTTGTTATTGTTATTGCACTGTAGTTATTTTTAAATATTGCCCTACTTAAATAACTATTCGGCATTCAGGTTAGGGATGGACTGCCCCAAAATTCCAGTCCGGATAACTTTCACTGTTTTGGACCTAACCTCTAAATGGAACCAATAATTACCGAAAACTACCTTCACTACATACAGTTCTTTGTTTCCTTTTTGAAATATTACATACTACGGGGTACTTTTTATAATTTTTTGAATGAAGTGTCCAACTTACAAATGCTCCATACCATTCCCTCTTTGTGACAGATTTGGCTCCTCTCCATTCTTGGACCTTTCTAGTAGGAGAGGAAAAGAGACAGAGAAACAGGGAGAAGGTAAAAGAGAGGAACTTGCTTGGTTCGCGGGATTTGGAGAGGAAATGGGAGGAGAAATCTTTGCTTTTATAATTGTTTCGACGTCTAGATGGTACAAAATACAATAATGACTAAAAACTATACAAGTATAAGAGATCTAACTAATTATATACAAAGTAATTATTATAGTCTAAAATTAACAAATAGATATGAATTGGAAAAAAATATAAATCAAACTTGTTATCCCCATCCCTCTTAAACCCCGGAACCAAACAAGTCCTAATATGAGAGGCAGAGAGGGATTTAGAATGTATTTAAGTGATTTGATCAACTCAAACAGCTAGACAGTGTCTTAAGTCTAAAAAGCGAAGTCAATCCATCACTTATCAAATAAGGTCAAGAACAGCTTGAAAGTGTCCTCACTGGTAAATTTACACGAATTGAGATAACGTCTAACCACACGTATAGCTATTAGTTGAGAGACTATGGTAAACTTTACCCTGAGTAATGTATTCATAGCACCAGATTACTATAAAAATCCAGCATATTAAATATTACGGAGTATTAAACAAAATTATTTGAAAAAACTAACTTTTACTCGTATTAATACAATTAACTCTTCCAATATATACCACTAATACCAGTATACCACACAGCCACTCTATTAAATATCTTTGGGGCTAATGCTTTTACATAATGATAAATTTCTACAGGTAAATAATACTCTCTCCGTTCCGGAAACAAGTTCCCACTTTCCTTATTTGGATGTCCCAAAATAAACTTCCCATTTCCTTATTTGGCAAATTATATATATCAAAACAGTGCCAAATAGTGTCGAAACAATGTCAAAACACTAAAATTTACCCCTCTGAAACTTTATTTCCTTGAAATGTGTGAAAGTAAACCCGGGAACTTGTTTCCGGGACGGAGGGAGTATATATTGTCATTAGTTACATAATTCGTATCTTCAGGGAGTAAGAATTTCTACAGGTAATTAATACTTCATGGACAGATTAGTATAAATTTTTACTCCATATTTTTATACTACGTACTAATTATTTACTCCAATTGTTGATTAAAGGATGATACAATATACTACGTATATAAATTGATCTTAAGAGACTTCTCTGCACGAATAATATTAGTACAAAAATGGTTGTGGTCATGGAGTCAAACAAACATATTAGTATTAGTTTATGATCTTTTTTGGTGGTATTAGTATGAAGAGTAATAGATAGAAAATTTTAAAATTTGAAATAATTACTCCAGTATTTAAACAGATGGCCCTAGATAGTAATTTGGTGTGTGAATATTGAATACTGAATAATGAACAGAACTGGCCTTTTTACCTGTAGAAGGAAGATGATCAAGAATCTTAGCAGAGCCGTCTTCATTATAAACTTCAACGAAGAATTTGGACGGGGATTCAAACCAAAAGACCAGAAAAGTGTGGAGATCCAAATTCAGGTCCTTCACGAATTTGGGCCAGCCCTTGGTGAAACACTGGGCCTCCGCAACCTCCTCCATCTTCACACGCCATTCTTCCTCAGTTCCTACCGTCAGAACTGGATATTGCGGCAACCGCTTTCTAAATTTATGGGTAAATAACGGCGGCAACCTCTTCAAAAAGAGGGGAACAAATCGTCATTGATTCTGGGAGAAAATATGTAAAAGAAAAACAGGAAAAGAGAGAAGGATAGTGCGGAATTACCAGGTAAGTGGCAAAGTTTTTGGTCAAGACCTTGAAGAAGGCGGGCTTCCTCTCACCCATTGTGATATCGGCTGTATCCATGAGCAGCAGTATTTCTTGGGCGGACTGATTTAGAAGTTCCCGCTAAGATTAGCCGTCTCCATCTGTTTCGGCTATAGAAAAAAAAGATTAGAAGCGTATATGGGGTGTGGACCGTTTTCTATACTATCTGTTTTGGGACTATTCAAATTATATTGGAAAAATTGACAAGAATAATATCACCGTTCACTGGTCTTCTCATAATAATCTCACATTTACGTAATTCAAGAATAATCTCACCTTTATATTCTTTCATTGGACCATAACCTATTGATAACCTACATAGGTAAGATTATTTATATAAGATTTTCAAAAAAAGGGTCTAATGAAAGAAGATGAGGTGTAAAAGTGAGATTGTTCTGGGATTATGTAAATGTGAGATTATTATGAGAAGATCAATGAAAGGTGAGATTATTCTTGTCGATTTTTTCAATTATATTAGGTCAGACTGGACAAGGTTAAATATCAGACAAGACTAGAACCACATCAAATCATATTGAATCAGATTTGATAAGATTAGATCATACAAGATCACATTACACCATATTTGGAAAATTATAAAATACACATAAATTAGACATTTATGAGATTAGGCAAGAAAATTTCAATTCAAGTAAAAACATCATGTATAACATTCTAACTATTTTCATATAATTTTTTATATTAATCAAACATATTTTAAATATAAGTTTTTCATAAATGAACAGAATCAGCCAATAGAGTCACTTCAGTTATCACTTAATAAATTTAAGTTGAATCGGTTGATTCAGTCTATCTGAATGTTACCAAAAGGCTCTTGAATCAGCTGAATATAATTTTCATAATTCACCGGTTTAGTAAGGATATATCGGTCAGTGATATGTTCCCATTGTTCCGTTACTTGGGTTCCATAATTCAGAAGGACTGTGAGTTAGATGAAGATGTATCTCATAGAATCAGAATAAAGTGGATGAAATGGAAGAGTGACAAGATTTCTATGTGATAGAGTGACAAGATTTCTATGTGACAAAAAAATATTAAACATTCCTAAAATGAGAAATAATTTAAACAAAGAAGTTGAGATGATAAAGTATTTAGAAATAAACCTTTAAAAAGAGAAGAGGTGGCGGCCAGGGGGAAGGAGATGGAGGAAGCGGCTGAGCTGAAGTGGCGGCTTGTTTTCTAGACTAGGAATTGAAGGAGGCGACTGTCGGCTAGATTGGGACAGAAGGAGACATCGGGTATGCTGGGATGGCACCGACAGCTTCCATCTCGGAGGGCAGCGACAAATTTTTCCAATGAGGGCGGCGACATCGGCTTGCTCTGTATACCGGAGGCTTGTTTTCTAGACTGGGAGAGACGCCGACCGTAGGTTGTCTCTGGTAGGGGATCGGCTTAGTTCTCAGATTCGGAGGAGGCGGCAGATTGGGTTAGGGATGAGGGTTTACACTTTTTATGATATGGCTTGGGGTTAGGATTGTTGTATACGGTAGGCTGCGGAGAATGTTTTATGAGTATTTGCTCCGGTCTTACTCGTAACCGCATCAAATAAGTGGAAAACTTCAAGTATTTGCTGCGGTTCTGACTTAACCGCAGCAAAAAGTATCAGTTTTTCTAACTTTTTGCTGCGGTTGTATTAGAACCGCAACAAAAAGTATCAGTTTTTCTAACTTCTTGCCGCGGTTGTAGTAGAACAACATCAAATACATATAAATTTTGTCTATTTGTTGCGGTTTATCTAAGAACTGCATCAATTGGGTAGCAGCAAATAAGGAAAATTCTAGTAGTGTTTTATAGGACAACAATTAGGTAGCGTAGAGTGTTGGACGGTGAAACAATGTCACATTCAAAAGATGAGTGTAACAGAGATGTGCATTCTGCGTTGGATGTGTGAGCATACTAGGAAGGACCACGTGAGAAATGAGACAATCAGACAAAGGGTGGGAGTTGCACCTATTGAAGGCAAGATGCGGGAGTCAGGTCTACGGTGGTTTGGGCATGTGCGTAGAAGACCAAGTGATGCACCTGTCAGACGTGTTGAGATGTGTGGAGAAGAGGCAGAGAGAGAGAGAGAGAGAGAGAGAGAGAGAGAGAGAGAGAGAGAGAGAGAGAGATGAAGACCCAAAGAGACGTGGGTTAGGGGGAGTCCAAAATGATATGCATCTTCTTGGGTTGGATGAGGGTATAACACTGGAGAGAGCAAAGTGGAAGGCGGGTATTCGTGTGGAGAAGTGATCTCGTATTACTATTTCTCCTCATCTTTTTTCTTCTTGTTCTTTTATTCTTTTATCCTTATATATACATTATTTTTATCCGTTTTATTTTATCATTTTTAGGCGTATTCGTCTCTTTTTATTTTATCTTTTTATAATAGCTTATTTTTTTATCTTTATTTTCTTTCTTTTCCTTCTCGTGGTGATATCATGTATCGATACATGTTAGCCGACCTCAGTATCTTTTGGGACTAAGGCTTGGATGTTGTTGTACCGGTTTAGTAGCACTACAATTGGGTGAATCGTCTCAATATGTCGAAATTGACGAACATGTGGCTTAAGTGACTGAATTTGATGAATTACAGAACAACTAAATTCAAGCTATATTTTATTAATGAAATAAAGATTTTTTTATCAAAATTATTCAAAACGATTCTTCACAGTAATTTGAGTCAAATCACTAGAGACGTATTTGTAACTCTACTTATTTTGATTATTAGACAATTCAACATGTATAATCTGTTGCGTGTGTCTCGGAAAATAAGAAAAATTAATTAATAAATAAAATAGCCAAAGAAAACAGAAAATAAGATGGAAGCAAAAATAGCCAAAGCTCGTGCTACGCACGATGTCCTTAAAACGTATTCGTTGCCTCCCATAGTGCTAGGAGCGTTGCAACGACCGTTTCCCAGGATACGGTGGCTAACGAATGATCGTTTGAGCACACAAAACGGAGGTTCCGGCGAAAGGAAACACAAGTGTGAACACTAAGAATATTTTCGAAATGCTGGAGGTGTTTTTTAGAGCTCAAACTACGTGAGGAATGTGTGAGTTCATTTGTGAACGTATGTTGTTGCAAACCATCTGCCAGCTATATATAGGGATGAATTTGTTGTGTGATAAGTGACCTTTAATGGACCTGAACGTAGGACATAAATGACCAACACGTTGGGCATTAATATGTCGAAAAACTGTTCATTTAAAGACACATTAAAAGAGAAGAACATTGGACATTTAAGGCTGTAATGGTCCAGAACCGTTCTGGTGCGCAACTAGAACGCTAGACTGTCTTCTGGTTCTGAAGTGGCCAGAACACCCGGTGGTCTTCTGGTTCACGAGCTACCAGAACACTAGGTGGTCTTCTAGTTCTGACGCACACAGAACAGCCTGTTGCACTTTTGGAGAACTGAGATAGTTATGGGAAGAAGCAAAAAATAAATCTTATCCTTGAAAGATAAATTTTTGGACGATATTCATGACTGCAGATCACCCGCGCATGCAAGTCACGATTTTTCTTCTCCGTTTTCAGGATTTAATTCGAAATCATATGAAGTATATGATTTAGTTTTGTAAAACATATACTCCTTCCGTCCCTAATAACTTTGCCAAGTTTGACTGGCGCGGAGATTAATAAAGTAAAAACTATGTGGTTGAGGATTGTGCTGAGGAGAGACAATTAACTGGAACCACAAATTTTTTACTTAAAAGGGAAAGTGGCAAAGTTAATGGGATATCTAAAAAAGGAAAGTTTACAAAGTTATACTCCGTAACTTATAAGGGACGAAGGGAGTATTAAATATTTTGATCTGTTGGGGGCTATGGGGTCAATATTAGTGTCACTTCCCACTCTTTTCTTATACATACATAATTCAAGGTCGTGATATCTGAGGGAAAAAAGGGAAGTGTGGCGACATAGGAGCAAGGCGGCGCTAGCCGCGCTACGGCCCGAGATTTGGCAGCCATTGCAACTAAAGAGCAGAAGCAGCCATCCTCCATATCATTCGGTTCAATTATTTTTCACTTCTCAGGTCGAGATGGTGAGCCATCTCAAGCAAAAAATCACCGGTGACATCTGCAGGGGGATTTCTAATCAAGCGAGGACAGAGCTCATTAGAGACAACGACGTCACAACGGGAGCCTCTGCTGATCAGCGGCGGATCGAATCGACCTCAGATCTGCGAACCAGAGGCTATTCACAGCCCATATGCGATGTGCCACGACGAAAGGTCCTTCTTGGAGACGCCGACCAGACTCTGAGCCCTACTACGATGGCTGTATCAGAAATCAAAGCAACCAGACGAGGTCCTCCCTACCTGCAACGGAGAGGATTGAATAACAATGATGGCAGAGAGTATCAGCGAGCACACAGGCGGCGAAAACTCTTGTACAGCGGCCGGACATATCTAGGTTCAGACGGGACAGGACAACCCAACGACACCTAGGTGATGATAGAATTGGATGGAAGATTGTTCAGCGACAATCTGGACATCACTGTTTCATTAAGGGGCAGCAAGTCAGCAAAGGCTTTTTGCGAGGGAGGCCCTCATTTTCTGCAGCCGCTAGGCAGTCCGCCATTAATTGGTTTCCAATTTCTCGACATAAGCAGAGAGCGGCTCCTTGGACTACTGCGCGAGGTAATTGGACTAAGCAGATAAGACCCACTTCGAAGAATGAACTGCGTGATAAGCAATGGAGAAATGCTAGGTATGATCCTTTTCTCCGGACAACAGATGGGCTTGAAATCTCTATTGAAAGCAAATTTTTTTGTTTCCATATTGTTAATTGCAATGCTATTAATATATCGGAATCAAAACATGGAATTTCTTCTACCATTGGGTTTGATATTGAAAGAATCACTTGGCTAAGGGACTCCATTACCAAACTCTTATCTGACAATTGGTCCTGCACCAAATTTGAGATGAAAAAGTCATTTTCTGTTATCCATGATGCAAATTCTTTTGGTGGTTTCTTCCGTATCAATGAGAAGGGTGGCGATTCTTTATTTGTTCCAGAGGGAAGAAATGGACAAGGGATTAAACTTTTTCTCACAGGGATTATTAGAGCGCTTACTTTGATGAAAGCAATTGATATCAAACACCCACCTTTGCTACTTGAACATGTTTCAGGAAAGAGTTATAATTTTGAGTGGGATCTTGTTACCATGGATAGGGATCTCTCCCATCAAAATGAGCTATCAATCTCTGGAACCCTTTTACAAGTTCATGTTGAACACTCTCACCAACCTTTGGTATTGAGTTGTATTGAGGATTTATGCCCTAATCTTATACCTGAGATTGATTCATCATTAACTCATGTTAAGGATTTCTTTCAAAACACTATGTCTCGGGGTGGAGTCACTTTCTAAATTTTTAATCAAAGAGTTTGAAAGAATTCTTGCATCCTCTTTCGATGACCGCAACATTTTAAAAAAGAGACCTGCTGATGAAGAGAAAGTTATTGATTGTACACCCTCACATATCGTTCGTTCAAGGGATGTTTTTTCAGGTAATCCGAGTTCTAAAGACTTTGACTGTGAAGGGTTTTTTGAAGAGCAATACATTGCACACTCGGGGGATGATTTTCTAGGTCATGCATCTGAGAGTGAAAAGAGAGCCCCCATTTCTTCGAAGGAGGATCTTTGGGACACTGATGCGAATCATGATATCTGCAACAAAGCTTTGTTGGTAACTAGAGATAACTGTCTGCCTACAGAGAATTTGAACACACAAATTAAGATGTACAGGAAGAGGTATTAGCGGTCGCATGGTATGAGGACTAGATCTCAATCACGTATGGATTATTGACTTCTTGACTGAACCTCAGGGTTTTGGGAGTTTTTTTTTTGTGTGTACTTTGGGTTGGGCTATTCTCCCTTTTTTTTAGGTTCTCTTACTTTTCTCTTTCTCATTTCCTTTCTTGTAATGTTTTACTTTCTATTAATAAACGTTTCTTTTAGCTAAAAAAAAACACAATTCAAGGCCGTCTAATGAATTTGGAGGCCCCGATTCTAAGTGTAAAATCGGGCCCCACATTAATTTTTTTTCCTTAACAAAATCTCAATCTAAATATTTATACTCAAATCAATTGAATACTCATTAAAAGATAACTAAAAAAGTAAAACGACCAACGAAAAAAATGATGGATCTATATTTTTCTTCCTTATAAGGTAACTGTATTTTACTAATTAGTATTAATATATAATATTACTAGATAATGCTACTAATTTTTTACAAAGTTGGGGCCCCATAAATCTAGGGGCTCTGTTCTGGATAACCTATTGAACCCCTAAAAATAGATATTCCTTAAGGGAGAGCCATGTAAATCTTAGATCAGAGTTCATACATTCAATCCTAGTGCAAACGCTACATTCTTCTTCTTCTTTGGCTCTCTATCTCAATAAATAACATATTTGGATCCATTATTCATCATTCGTATTGATTTTACTTATTATATTTTGATAAGTTAAATAAATTTTGATTTTAGAAATATCTGATCAAATCTGTCATGATAAAATGTTTCTAATTAATCTAATTAGAAAACTCAAAAGTTTAAATTAGAGCTCATCGGATCATATAAAATTCAAATTGGAGACATTTAGAGGACGTTTGATTCTGATTTAGGAAGGTTTCTTACTTTCTTTATTTTTATGTTTTTACATTTACTTGGACTTATTTCAATTCTAATTAGAGTATTAGACTATACTAGATTTTGATGATTATAAAATACCAATGACATGTTTACTTCACGGGTTACTAAACGGTGCTTAATAAGACCCGTGTTAATAAACGGCGCATAAAATAATCAATGTTGTAAGATAGTGTTTACTTCAAAAGGTTTAATATATTGTTACCTTAAAATGTTCAAAATAACTCTATACATATATAGACACACAAACATTCATGAACACAAGTATATCATATAATATAATATGTGGGGTCACCTCGTACGCGTACTCATACCCTTAACCTCTACCCTACCTTACCTCGACCCCACCCTACCCTGTTATACCCCCTACCCTACCCTACACCCCCTAGCCCAACCTTGACCCCACCCTACCCTAATCCCCACCCTTACCCCTAACCACGACCCAACCCCACTCCCTCCATTTGCCCCTACCTCGGCCCCACCTTGATCCCAACCCCACCCCATCACTACCACCCTACTCACCACCTACCAGATGCCCCTACCTCGGCCCCACCCACATCCCGATCCCACTCCTACCTCCATCCTACCGCCACGTAGGGTGGGGTCGGGGGTGGTAGGTTGGCAAGGGTGGGGGTCGGGGTAAGGTAGGGTAGGACATGGTGGGGTCGGGGGTGGGGCCGATGTGGTAGGGGGTAAGGGCCTAGGGTGGTAAATGGGGCGGGGCTGATGTGGTAGGGTTGGGGTAGGGTGGTAAGGGTAAGGGCGGTAAGGGTAAGAGCAGTAAAGGGGCGGTGGGTGGGGGTAAGGTAGGGTAGGGGTAGGATAGGATAAGGCAGGGTCCGGGTGGGGCCGATGTGGTAGTGGGTAGGGAGGGGTTGGGTAGGGGTAGGGTGGGGTCGGGATCGGGCGGGGACGAGGTAGGGGTAGGGTAGGGTATGAATCGGGGTGGGGCCGAGGTGGAGGCATGTGGTAGGGTGGAGTAGGGTCATTGTATGGAAAACGGGTACGCGGGGTGTGGGTGGTGTGATGGTCGAGTAGGGTGGGGTCGCGGTCGGGATGGGGTTGGGGTAGTAGGATTGAGTGGTTTAGGGTAGGGGGGTAACAATAGGGTAAGGGCAAGAGGTAAATTCGGAAACTGAAAAAGTTTAAAGTCCCGCTTAATTAATAAATGAGGTGATATGCTTAGTAAGCGACACTATAAACACCTCTTTTGGTTAGTAAGGGACTCTTTAAGCATTGTGCATGTTTACTTCACCTGTCTTACTAATCTAATTGTGACTTTAGTAGCGAAGTAAACACCTCCTAAGAGATCCATCATTTTACCAATCAGATCACGTAAAAATTAGATTTAAGGAAAGAACATCACAAAATTCATAAATTTCCGAAAGAGCCGGTTTCCCTCCATCCCCAATTTATAATCTAGGGTTTTAAATTTTAGTTTCAACACATCTGGTCGCTAAACGTTTTCTCCGGCTTGTTCACCAAAGACCACACTTTTCTACCTGTGACCTAAAATGTACGCAAAACATCCATCTACTTCTGCGTAATTGCAGAACCAATAATCTGACCTGCGCAAATGGCGTTTTCGTTCACTCCTCAGCCGCAGCAGCAAACGTCACTATTTCAAACTCCGCCCAGTCAACCGCAACCGTCACCGTTTACGCAGGTCAATCCCTTCTCGCAAACTCCACAGCCGCAATTCAACTTTCAACCACAACAGCAGCAGCAGCAACTGCAGCAGTTGTTCTTATTCACCAACAGTAAGACGCCTGCCACTTATGGTACCAAATGGGCTGACCTTCATCCAGACTCTCAAAAAGTCCTCCTTAAAATCGAGTAAGTGTTATATCCTTTAATAAACACAGCTCAATATGAGGAATGCCAATCATACATGATGTGATTTTGTCTTGCCTGTTGTAAGTGATAGCAATTTTTTTTTTGACTTGTAGAGAGAAAATATTGGAATACAGAGATGAAAGTCAACGCCTTGATCAGTGCAGCCGGCTCTATGATTCTTCTGTTTCAAATGATGGGTTTGAGCTAGATGCTAGTCACAGTATTCAGGTTTATTATCATGTTTTGTCATGCTGAGAAGCATTCTTGACTATTTGAGCATTGTATTCTTTACATTCTACACTATTTCGGTACTCCAATATCTTGTTCTTCACTAGTTCCAGAACCTATTAGTCATAGAAGCAGTGTAGTAAACAACGCTTGCATGAGGGCTAAAGGGCACCAGGCTAGGAACATGGGTAGCACCTTATAATTCTCCAAGCGCAGTGATATGCTTCAGGCGCAAATAAAGCTCAATATGAGCAGAGCTGTACGTCTGTCATACCTGTGCTGGGAAATGCATCTCAATTCTCAACTTATTTTTCTTTTTGCATATAAGATTAGGGTCTATTTTAAAGAAGCCCACATTCATATTAAGATTTAGCCAATTCAAATAATAGAGCAAAACAGCATAAACCCGGCATTCAACTCACACCCCACGTAAATGGTAGCTTCTTCCTCATTATGTTTCTTCTTTCTGTTATCATCTTCTTGTTCAATTCAATTCTCTGTTCTGTCTTATTTTCTATATTTTTCTTTCTTTACTGTATGGTCTATTTCTTCTTGCTTTATTTCTTTTCATCTAAAATTCGATATTTTATTTCTGCTGTTTTATATCTTCCCCTAACAAGTTCTTTTATTTTATTTTTTCTAACATGTTTATATTATAAGCACATGTATTCCTTTCTATCAAGTTTTATGTATTTATACTTTTATGAAACTTCAATTGTTGCCAAGAAAGCTGAAAGTAATATTGCTAATAGAATATGGTCTCCTCTTTTAGCTGAATTGAGCTAGATTATTCCTGAACTTAGGTTTTAGTGTTAATGATGATTTATGAGTATGACTTTTTAATGCATTTAGTTTAATATGATATTGGATATATCATATTTAGTAATTCTAGAATAGTATAATTAGAGTCTAAGCAGTGTGCTTGACATGAGTCGGGCAAGTTCTTTTTTGCGCCTTGCGCCTTGCGCCTCACGGAATATGACAATTCTAGCGCCTTGACTGCGCCTCATGACTTTGACCACCGTGCATAGAACTGATAGAAGGCTTTAACTTGCCATTATTGGCATTATGATCATGTTTCAGTGTCATATAGTGTACACTGATATATGATGAGGTTTCAATGCCAGTTTTTTGTGGGTGGTATTGTATCTATTCTTTTTTACTTCATCCACAACTATACGCTTTCACCCAAACAGTCTCTCTGTGCTTTATTATACGGATAAGACTGCGTACATCCGACCCCCCCTACCCCACCGTGGGTGGGAGCCTTTGCGGCATTGGGGTAATGATGGTGATGATGATGATGCATTAACACATTATAATATGAAAAAAACTGTTAAATTTGTTTCAATTTAAAAGTTCCAAATATAAAATTTTCTAATAACCTGTTAATTATCAAAATAGTCTAAGTCATGCATTGGCAAGTTTGGAAGTCAAACTGTCCCAACTAAGTAAGAATGGAGGAAGTATTGTTTTATTATATTTAGGTATCACATGTTATGAGACTTGTGGCCAAGGTGGGGCCTAGGCGAGAGGCAGTCTGCTGGCGCCACACCTTGCCTAGCCGTCATTACTACCTTGACATAGTCTCATGTTATTTCTCATGCAAGTGGGGAAAAAACCAATCATGATGTTGTTTCGGAATTTCAACCCTTTGATTTATCAGAAGAATTCTGTAACATGAAGGAGACCTGGAGCAAAACTTTTCTTCTATCAGTTCTATGTTTTCTTGCAAGATATATAATGTTAAACTAATATTAGAAATTTAAATGGCACTACAAATTTCATATCACCGACCTCAACAACTTGGGATTATGGTGACAGTAAGAATATGACGTGACATTGAAATTCTAACACAGAGTCGTAAAACAAAAGTATGTAGCAACATACCATTTGGCTTGTAGTGCAAGAAACAGAGAAGTCCAATAGTGCTAAAACATTTTGTTAACCATCTAAAATTTGTTAAACAAACAAGGGTGTAATTTTATATTTTGATGGAATATTAGTACAGTCATAGATATAACTTCTGCTACATATTTGGGCTGCCTTGTGTTTTGTTGATGATTTAATAAATTGAATTGCTTTTTTAGGAACTTGGTGGAATCAGTACTTCAATGGAACGACAAAAAACTATATTGCAAGAGCTAATGATTGTTGTTAAAGATATGCTACGCAATACAGAGGTAGCTGTTCGTTCTTTCATGATGTTACGCCCAAGGTTTCTCCATCAGAGTGCACCTGCCACAAGTTCAGCAACTGGATCACAGGCATCTGGGGCAATAGTAGCCGCACCCTCAAGTTCTCAAGCAACAACTATACCCAGTTTTCCTGTTTTTGATTTTTACAGTGGGATTCCAAAGAAGCCATCTCCATTCCTGCAGCAAACAGTAGCTAGATTTGAGAGACATCTTGCTGAATGTCGACAGTGGGTTGAAGAACTGGAGCAGTTGATCATGTTAGATTCTTCTAATAGAAATTCTTTCAATTCCAATGCATCACTCTTGCAGTCACTTCCACAAGTCATGTCAAATGTGCATGACTTTTTTGTTCATGTTGCAGCAAAGGTAAGAGATACTACTTTTATTTGAAGTGTAAGATTGTTTCTCTAAACTATGATGAATCTAATGTAAGATCTTAAATGGGGAAGAAAATTCATTTTCTTTTCTTGATGGTCAAAATTCTCTGAAATAGATGGGGTAGTATTTTATTTTGGGTTAATCTCGTATTCTCATGAGGTGCCTTCCGAGTATTGAGATTTTTTCATTCAATTTCCAGGACATCATTTTGCTTCATCAAATTTTGTTTTGTTTATTCTCCCGAAATCAATTTGGGCACTGTGTAAAATTAATACTTGTAGGATACAATATTTTACATTCATAGAATCATCACATTAATTTCAGTGGATGCGTAGTGTATTGAGTACATGCATATGTTTATGACCTAAATCGATTTGAAAGTGAAGTGGAAAGAAATTCAATGATACTCTCTTATTTCAATTCTATAGCATGAGATCAGATGCTAATTTTTCTTTGAATATGCTGGATAAAATCTGAGGCACATGATCAACTTTTGTTAAGGACTTGGTGTGAGGGCAAGGGGTGGGGAGGATTGATTGATTTAATATTTGAAACAAAGCTATGGGGGATGTAGTGGTGGTACAAAATAATGTCTAGTGAGTTGGATGAGACCAGACAACAATAGTTGGAGGGAGTCATATGGAATCAACCCTTTTTTTTAGGGGGGATTTGACTTTGCACCCCATTTTTTGGATAATATTGGACTTTGCACCCCATTTTGAAAAAACTTTGACTTTGCACCCCATTCCACTTAAAAATCCTTTGACTTTGCACTCCATTTAGAAAATTTTCTTCACAAAGTGATATGTGCTAGGGTGCAAAATCAAAGTTTTTTCAAATTGGGGTGCAAAGTCCAATATCACCCAAAAAGTGGGGTGCAAACTCAAATTCTCCCTTTTTTATTTGTTGCAAAATAGAAATTGTTGTATTGTCTTTTTGGGTTCATCATTGGTTAATCTTTCTTCTTCATATTGGAATTGATTATACATGTTGGCCTTCCATTTTCTTTTAGGTAGAAAGCATCCATCAATACATTGAATCTATGAAAATGGCATACCTTATTGATCAACGACGGCGAGGAGATGCTGGTGATCCTTTTCTTGAAGCTGACCGACGGGAAACCGCCAAGCAAGAGGCTGCTGCTAGAAGGGTTCATCCAACATTACATTTGCCTGCACCGCCAAAACCACCAACTCATGTTACTGGGTTGCAGTCCAGCTCAGCCATGCCCGGATCATCTAGTGCACCACAAACATCTGCTGTCATTTCAAATAATTCGGCTGCAAGTGGGTCCTCACTTTTTAGTACCCCTGCAATTGCCACCTCATCATCTTCTCTTTTTTCTACACCAACCACTTCTACTCCGACAGCCTCATTGTTTGGGTCTGGTACTTCCCCACAGACATCACTATTTGGCCCTTCGTCCACCTCTACACCAGCATTCTCTAATCCTTTGTTTGGCTCAACCCCATCTCCTGCAGTTACAAATTTTTCAAACCCTTTTGCATCAGGTAATCTATAATATGAGTTGTATGATGGTTTATTCTACCTTGTTAATCAATTGGTTCCGTTAATCCCTTTCCCTTATTTTTTCATAAAAAATGTGTTGAGTGTTCAGGTTGTTTATAATATAGAGATATGCGTGCTAGTTGATATGAAAATAAAATATTAGCAGTAATATTTTGATGAAATTCTCAAGTTGAAAAAACAACTACAATAGATGTTATTTAAGCAACAGATCTACAGAAGCATCCCTTTCATATAATCTAACTACGGGTTAGGTCATTAGTCATTACTATTGTCAACCTCAACATTGATGACCTTGAGCACTATATTCACACTGTTTATTCCTCTTCTCTGAGATTTCACTGTATATATGGCAGTTGCATGACAATATTTACAAGAGATGATTGTGGTTTAAGAATCTTGGCATTTTTAGCAATGCATAGAACTCAGCGGTTAGCTGACCCCAAAATCTTTTGGGAATATGGCTTGGATGTTGTAGTTGCTCAGAACTCAGCGGTTATAATTAATAACCATCTTACTAGTCATTATATTTTGCCCCTCTTATGTTTTCCTTCTTGTATTCATTTTTCGGTGGGAATTTCATTTTTCACAGTCCTTATCTCTTATATTTCTTGTCTTGTCTTGTAGGAGCTGCAGTAGGATCAGGGTCAAGCTTTGGAACTTTATCTGTGAGTGGAACCATGGTTCTTATCATAGATTTGAGTATCTCTTTCCTGATAGTAAATATACCTTAGGATGTGTTTGGGGGGGGGGGGGTTAGAACTTAGAGTGAGAGAGGATCAGTTATCTTTCATTTCACTTGATAACATTTCAAAACAAATGTCATCGAGTGTTTTAATATTTGAAACAAATGATATAAAATCATGAATCTACTACATAAACTCAATGTCCATTTCATTAACTATTTCCATGAATCATAAAAAGTACATCTCCTTACCTCCATAAACGCCTCCTATATACATACATATTACATACCTTAAACAGGATCCTGATCTCCACTTGTTGGAATATTCACCACACTTTATAGCATTTTGTTTTTCTGTTTTAAACTATCTTCGTTGCTATAATGTTTTTCCTTATTGCTGTAGAAAGCAAGAGCTAAAAGTCGCACAGGAAGACGCTAAATTATATCAGTGTGGATGAGAAGTCCATCCTACATTCGCTTCCAATGTGAGCTGTTGCTAGTGAATCTATATACTTCTGTCCAAGACTTGGTGATCATCTTCACTCTTCATTCCTTGGATGTGCTGAACTTCTTGCAGGGGATCTAACGTGCAGCCACAGAACCATTTCCCAACTTCGTTTGTATTCCTTTGGGCTTCACTACTCAGAGTCATAGGTGCATGTTTTGTTTTATAAGATGCCAATGTAATATTGTAAAATTCATTAGCTTCTGTTCATTTTAGATGACCATTTGTATTGGCGTATTTTATACAGCATCATTTTTTCAATTTAGAGGTATTGTATGATCTTTTGAGGATGTTTAGCTGTCAAGTAGATCATGTTTCAGTCTATGTTGTGATGTGGGTAGGCTTGGACCCGGTTCGGGCCACCTAGGGATGGACTGGGCCGGGACGAACCGAACCGGCCCGGAACCGGACCGGCCCGCTACTGTGCGGGCCCGGACCGGACCGGGCCCGGTTGGCCGGTTCCGGGCTTTTAGCCCGTGTTGGCGGGTCGGGCGGGCCGGTTCCGGGCCCTATTTTTGTTGAACCGGCCCGGGCGGTTCGGGCCGGGCCCGGTTCATTTTTTTTTTTGGTTTTTTCAATTTTTTTCTTTTCCTAGGGTAGGGCTGGGTGTTTTAGGGAGGTTTGGGACGTGGGGGTGAGGGGGGGGGGGGTAGGGAGATAACAAGAAAGTCAAAAAAAAAAAAAAACATTGAACCGGGCCCGGCCCGGTTAGGCCCGGACCCGGTATCAACCCGGGCCGGTTCCGGGCCCATGTAACCCGAAAAAGAGCCCGCCCGGGCCCGGCCCGGAACCGGAACCGGACCGGCCCGGGTCCATCCCTAGGGCCACCCGGCCCGGCCCGGTACTGTATGGGCGTGACCCGGCCCGAGAACCGGGTACTGGTTACGGGTCTAGGCCCGGTTTAGTGGCTGTAACCGGGGCGGGTATGGGTCTGGGGAGTATGGAACCGGCCTGGCCAGTTCCGGGCCCGGTTCGGGCTTTATTCTTTGTTTTTTATTTTTTATTTTTAACTTTCCGGGTTGGGTTGGGTATTTTGGGCCATTTGGGCTGGTTTGGGGGGTGGGGGGTGGGGGGTAATTAGAAAAAGCAAAAATAAAATAAAAAATAAACTGGCCCGAGGCTCGGCCCGGACCTGCTGGCAACCTGGGCCTTGCCCCAATCACAAAAGGCCTGACCGGGCCTAGGCTCGGCCCGACTCCATGCCTAGACACGGGGAACCATAGTGGCATAGTCAAGAGTCCAAACATGGCTAATTGGCTAGGACATTAAAAAAAATTAACATAACATTGTTACACAAATATTTGAAGCATTTTTTAAATTTGGGTTGGATCAGGGACTCAGAGCCTAGCGTGACCCTCTAGCTCCGCGAGGAACCATGTTTATAAAGTAAAAATGCACAATTGCACAAATAGTCCCTTTGAGCGCATCATAAGTCGTGGTTTATGAGTCAATCTAAGATTTTAAAAAGTAAAAATGTTTACCAATTCATCACCACTAGGCATGGACCCGTCTCTGACCGGCTGGTCCGAGGTGTGCCGTGTGCGTGTGTATTGAACTGAGACATTTCATGCTTAAAAAGTAGCATTTTCAAACAAATGCTTGTGTTTAAAGTTTAGTGTAAAGCTAAAAGCGTAAGTACTTAAAAATGCTTTACATTTCTTCTATTACAAAAATACTTTAAATCAAACACTTTCATTTTTACTTTTTAAATATCACTTTATTTTCAGATACCACCAATTTTTATTAATCACTTTTCATACAATCTCTAAAATATAATTTTCAAAAGCAGAAACAAACGTAGATATTCTATGGGTGTTTGATAAGTAGTTTGACATATAGTGTGGCCTGGGCTGGGACAGAGCAGGCTCCGGGTCTGGTAAAATCAGTCCCGGTACCGGCCCAGTTATGTACCGGGACCAGGTCAGGTTGAGCTATCCAGTTGGGATTCGGGTCGGGCCTGGGTTGGGCCAGGCTATTTTTTTTAACTCATTCACCAGTGCTACAAAAGATTGAATGTATATTTATTGAAATATGAAGCACGATTAATAATTGAAAATAACTTCAAACATTAAATACATTTGGTAAAAATCAATCAGAATCTCCGTCAGCGTCGGTTGTTGTTTCTTTCACAAAGTGGCGGTCAGGGGGCGATGCAAACTTCTTGAATTCTACGTTGTGCCTTCAATCAATCGTGAAAGCAAATGAGTGTCTCAAGAGATTGCTCTCAATTTTGTTCTATAATCAATGAGGACGTTGCCGACTACAATAAATTCTTGTTGCACGGCTACTGTTGACTCGGCATTGATAGCACTTGCTTCGTCATCTTCGATAAAATCAGGAAAATTGATTCTTTTTCCTTCCACCACTTAAGAACATCAAAGTTATCCCCTTCTACATACTCAAAACATTAGATATAAAGAAAGCTCGGTGATCGAGCTTTGTGCAACAACGGGAGTTGATTTATTTTTTTCAAGTGTAGTTTTGAAAATTGATTTTCCTTTAGATGAAGAAGCAATTGGTTTTGGGGGAGGGGATGCGTTAGCATAATGTGCATGAAACTCATTAAATAATTGATGAAATAAGTTACTAACCTCGTTGTATTGCTCTTTAAGATCTATGAGCCTCTCTTCATACATAGGTAATGGACCGAAAAAACAAGTATAATAGTATTGAAGTACAATAATTAAGTTATAAGTACGGTTCCAGCGAATAGTCAAATCTCTTGGAAAAGGACAATAGTTCACATGTCTAGCCCTCAAATATTGACGCCATTGCATTTTCAGTCGATTATTACCCCAAACCAGTCTAACAGCCCCTTTCACGTTCTCCATAACATCACCTAGTGCGGTTAAACCGTCTTTTACACACAAATTGAGAATATGACATGCACAATGTTGAAGAAAAAACCTACCCATCACAGTAGAAGGACCACACAATTCACGTAATCTAGATATAACAACAGTAATATTGCTAGCATTATAAAAACAAATTGCAAAAACTTTATCAATCAAATTATATTCAGTTAAAATACGCTCAATGAGAATATAAATATTATCATTGGTGTGTCAGTCATTAAATTCTTGAAAAACAATAACACGTTTATGCATATCCCAATTAACATTAATCTAATGTACATTCACACCCAAATAATACAAATGATAACAAGTATCCTCCCATATATCACTACAAATACTAACACATCCATCAAAGTTTGCGAAAAACGTTTTTAATATATCTTTTTCCAAAACATATTGCCTTATAACCTCTTTTTAATGATTTTGCGACTATAGTTTCGAAATCGAGGATTTAAAGAACCTTGAGCATAAACTTTTAAAACAAGACTTTCAAAAAAAAATAAAAGGTAAATGATGGATAGTGTACCCGGGGGGTAGCTTATCTGAGGGGTTATTGCGGGGAATAACCTAGAGAGAAGTCAGAGCAAACAAGTAAGAGAGAGAGCCAAGTATAATAAATGAACTTGTTCTGGGATCCTTTACAAGAGGAATAAAGGGTGCTATTTATAGCAGCCATAAATGCGATGAGAGTACACGTGTCAACAATCTAACGGCCGAGGGTCACCTCGATCGGGGTGGCACTGGCATTCGCATGTGCACTGCATTAAATGCGGTGGGTGGATGTGACGCCGCATTAAATGCGGTGGTTGCTTGTCTCCAAAGGGAATCTTCGATGATTGCGTTGTAGCCGAAGGCTCCCCTGTGGCCGAAGGCTTTGTGTAGCCGAGGGCTCAGTGTAGCCGAAGGCTACCCTTATGATGAAGACACGAAGATGCCGAAGGCTCCTGATTTCTGCCGTTTTCTCCCAGTAGCTTTGCATGCCTAAAATCTGCTGTTTTCCGGAGTTTGGAGCCTTCGCCCATAGGGCCGAAGGCACCCTTATGTCCACCATGGGCTTCTTAACGCTTGGGCCGCTGTGTTTGGGCTTCTTGTGCTTCCTGGGCCTGTTGGGCCTGTGTTATAGTAGTAGGCTATGAAGCACGGATACTTCACTAGGGTAGCGTATCGGCGTATCCGATACGTTCCCGTATCCGATACTCTAGGATACCCGTACCGTACGTTTCCTGGCCGTATCTGCAATTTTTAAAAGTTTCCATTTTTTTTTGTAATTTTTTGAAAGTTTCCGATACTCGTATCCTGACGGATACCCGTATCAACTTTTAAAAAAAAATCCCAAAATTTACTTAATAAAATTCTAAAAAAAATGAAAATCTAAAACTACATTTACTTGGTAATCAAATAATGGGCCTATATGGCTATATCCGAATTAAGTCATTAACTCATACTCCGAATTGGATACTTGCACTTTTAATTTCAAGATTGTAGTTGTTTGACTTATTTCTCATTTTAAATTAATGACTTATTGACTATATTTATATTTCGAGATGACTAGTGTATATGAGAAATATTATGAATTTATTACTAAGTATCTTGAAAAAGGAAAATGCTTCAATGCAATGAATGGGTAGACATCATAGGATATTATATGTATATATATATATATATATATATATATATATATATATATTTTCAAAAAAAAATCTATTTTTAATATTTATAAATAGACCCCTATAACTTTTAATATTTGTAAATACACCCCCATAACTTTTAATATTTATAAATATGGCCCCGTATCCGTATCCTACTTTTTTTTGTTTTGACGTATCCCCGTACCCGTTTCCGCGTTTCCGCGTTTCCGCGTACCGGTATCGGTGCTACATAGGTAGTAGGAGTTTGTGGGCCGGGGGTCCCTAGGCCATATACTCCATCAGTAAATTTTCTTCAACAATTAATTCATGCATAGCAGTTAAATGTTTGGAATCATCATAAGAGAAATTATCATAGGGTTGGCCATCTGCAAACCTTGATATTTGTGTTTGCGTCCCCTTGCCTTTTAGTTTCGCATACTCCACGGGGTGATGGGCCTTGACATGCCTATGAGCGCCGCCATATCCTTGCGAAATCCCCAAGCTTATGTTTTTGTTACAATGGTTGCAAGTTGCTCACTGATAAGTCCGTATTTTGACACGTATTTGATGCGTGTTGGGATCGGTTTTGATGGTTTTCCCTAGCTTTAAGGTGTTGCAAGTCTCAATTTTAGCTCAAGTTATGTTTATCGGGCATTGGTTCGAGTTTTGTGTTGTTTGTAGTCAAAATCAGGGAATTTGAGCCCGGTACCGGCACTTGAGGAACAATCGGGATGATTTGAGAAGCATTTGAGAATGATTTGATAGCTTTGGAGGTCACCGGAAGGTTCACG